CAGTCTCCTTTGGGACTTTGGTTGTAAGGTATGGATACTCAGACATTTCTGTTGTTTAACAGTAGATGTGGGGAAGACCAAGGGAGAACATATGGAGGGGACCATATCTGAAAGGGAAAGTGGGAGTCCCAGACCATGGTTTGCCTTTGGAGCCACCAATGCTTATGGGGAGAAAGCCAGGGAAAATCTGAATGAGTTGGGGCCAGGATGCCAGCGACTCCACCTTGCTGGGGTCATGTTGCTCTGCCCAGCGCAGTGTCTGACCTGGCGTGTCCTGGTCAGTGTTTGCTCTGACAGTGGCCTCTGCAGATCCAGGCCTTCCTTCAAGATGCCCACTGTGCGTTGGGGCTGGTCTGGGGTTTTCCAGTGCTGGTGCCTAACGGCCTCCGCTCTGCTGCCTGCTCCCCTCTTCCAGTTCTCCCTGCTCCTCCTTTGCTGTGTTCTCTGCTGGCTCCTCCTTCCTGTTCATTGTGGGGATGGGGTGCTAGCTATTTTCTTAGTGGTTCATTGCTTAGCCCTTGCTCCAGTTCATGCTTTCCCTGCCTTGCTGCCTGTTGAGAACACCAGTCAGACGATTTCACAGTTTTTACTTAAAACTCTTCAGTTTAAGTGCTGCTGGCTCTGGATATTTTAACCTCAGCAGAGGACTGTGACTCCCTAGTCAGCCAAGGAGGCCAAGGAAACCTTATGCCAAAACTACCCCTCTCTTTTTGGACTAGGGTTATCCTAAGCAAGTTGGAAAGGAGCCCTCATATTCTGGGGGTTGTTTGCAATCTTATAAAGGTATGGGCTTTGGCCAGGGGTGCATCCAGGTGTGTGGATCCATCTGCCAAAGAGGCATTTCATTCCACACACAGATCTGGTCTGTGAGATGTTTCTAAATGTACTTGGCCCTGGTGCCATCTTTCTTCATAAATCCCAAGGGACAAATTTACATGGTTCTGTGCCTCCAGGGAGACTTGGACAAATTCTGAGCAGCCACAAACCCTGGCAGGTTTATCAATTATGGGACTGGGAGGAAAGGAAAAGAAAGTTAGGGCATTAACTCGTCTAGGACACAAGGGTTTTTGGAGGCCACAGGAGTTTATAGATGGCAAATCTTCTACTTCTAATTCCAAGCAAATTGAGATCTCTAGACAAAGCTCTCCACCCTTGAGGCTTGACCTCAATACACTGTGCCACTTGCTACGCTGCTCATACTTTCACACTCTGTTCAGGGCAGGAAAGAGGGAGGGAGATGACCGGAAGGTGTCTTTCAAGATGGAGAAGCCTATGGGAAGGGTAGTTTGATGAGTTGAAGAGAGATTTAATGTTTTGTTTTTTTTTTAATTTTAGAAATTGAATTTTATTGACTATACAATTTGCAAATCGGGGCAACCTTTCCAACTAAAGAGTTAAAAATATTCCCAAAGAGAGATTTTGAACTTGCTTAGTTTGAGGTATAATTTTAACCTCAAAGTGAAGATGGAGAGCAAGCAGTTGGAAATAAAAGTCTGGAATCAGAGAAAATTTGACATTCATCAATATTTTGATAGTATTTAGAGTAGGGATTCAAATTGGATCAAAATGTCTCAGTAATTGGCATACTAACCACAAGCCACATATGTGTTGCATAGCAACCAAGTCTGTCCCATAGTATTTTGACCTGAGTGGACTCCTGGGGTGGCACTGGACTGTGAACCAAAAGGTCAGTGGTTCAAACCCATCAGCTGCTCCTTGGAAACCTTATACAGGGCCGCTTTGACTCAACGGCACTTAACAACAACAACAGGAGTCCTGGCGGCACTGTAGGACAAGCACAGGGCTGCTAACCACAAGGTTGTTAGTTCAAACTCATCACGGAAAAAAGAGGAGACTTTCTGCTCCCATAAAGATTGACAGTCTCGGAAACCCTAAACAGGGCTACTGTGAGTTAGAATCTACTCAATGGCAGTTGGTTGTTCGGTGTAGGAGACAAACAGCCGTGTTCTGTTTAAGGATGGCGGCTAACTGCTCTTCTTTGAGTGTGTGTTGCTCTCCAGTGTTCTGTCAGAAATCCAGTCTCCTGCATCAGGCTCCTGAAACTTTCAGGAGGAAGGACCACAGCAGGACTTTTGCAGAGCAACACACGTTCAAAGCAGAGCAGTTGGCTGCCATCCTTGAAAGGGCGCAACTCTGTCCTACTGGGGTCAAAATACCAATGGCACCAGATCTGGTTGCTGTACGACATGTGTATAGCCCTTGTCCTTGTACAATGGTAATTACCAAACCATTCTGAACTGCTTCAAAGTCCTATTTAAAGCAATGGGGATGGATGAGCTCATTCACCTAGAGAGTAAGAGGAGATTCAAACAAGACTCAAGGAGAGAACCTGGGGCTCACCAGCCAGGAAAACGAGCAGACAGGAATACATTCCAGGGAGTCAGGAGGAGAACCAAGAGGTGTGGTATTTCAGAGACTGAGCGTGGAAGATATTTCCAGATGGAGGAGGAATTGCTGGGTTATGCGCTCCCTCCATGAGATGGACTGACACAGTGGCAGGAACAATGAACAGTGATTGTGAGGACGGGCTAAATCAGGACTGGGCCGTGTTTTACTCTGTTGTATACAGGGTCACTGTGAGTCAGAATCAACTTGACGGCACCGAACAACAGCAAATGCTGTGGATTTGTTAAGGAAAATCAGAAATATAAATTTACTGCCAATTTTGGCCAATTTTGAGTCATTGTTTACATTTACTAATATAGTTTCACGGAGAGGTGGGATCAGAGCTGGAAGAGAGAGACTCAAAGAGAAAAGATTGGAGTAAGATGCTGGCCAACAGCTGAGGGGATCGAGTTCAGGCCCAGAAGGAGGGGCCAACAATCTGGGCAATGTCCCTGGACCACAGTCCCAACCTGGGAAGCAGGGTAGAGATTCAGACTCCAACAGGAGAAATGAAGTATGAAAAATATGAATTCAGCAGAAAGGAAACATCGAGAACCAGGACTTGCAGAGCCACATGCAGAAGAAGGCTGTCCCACCCAGCGGCACTCTGGTGCCAGGAACCATGGAAGAAAGCCTTATTCCAGAAGCTTCCATTTGTGGGGAGAGGACTTTGTATACACTGTTGGGCTTGGATGGAACTGACCCAGGACCGTTAGAACCGAAACATATAGGTCTTCAGTGCCCATTATTGAGTAGGCAGGAGTGGGAAGAGAATGAGTGCAAAGTCTTCAGACAGATGCTGCTCAACTCGGCACATGATAGCCTTTGCAGAAATTTCTCAGAAATAGAGTTCTGGGTCCCATCTCTGAAAACCCCATCAGTCTTTTTGGAATGGGACTCAGTCCCATGGTTTTTGTTTTTAGCATCTTCCTAGGTGATTTTCACTGCTCCATACTTCAGTTTATTCCTGAGCTTGGGACTGAGCCAAGATGGGAGGTACTTTGAGATAAAGGGGGCTATAGGAACTGTCAAGGCTGAAATCTCAAGGACAACAATGGTGCTAATCTCTAAAGGAATTCCTTGGCTGCCCCCCAAAAGCTATTCTCATAACATTTACCAAAATGAGAATCCTAAATCATTCTGCAGGTTTAAAGCTTCTCAGAAGCTGGAGAAAAACACTGTTGGCACCAGAAACAAACTTTATTCTGGCAGTGCAGGGTAGTTTTCAAACACTAGTTACAGAATTACATGTTGTGTTAGGTGCTGTCAAGTTGGTTCCAACCTACATAGAGACCCTCTGCTCCACAGAACAAGCGGACCCGGTCCTGCGCCACCCTCACAGTTGTTGTGTTCGAGCCCATTGCTGCATGTTCTTTTCTGGAATTTCAGTGCACCCTCCCACCAGTACAGAGAGGTTCAGTAATGGCTCATTTCTGCTGCTTCCACCTGGTCAGGAGCTCCCAGGGAGCCTTCTGAGTTTCTCAGTCATCTCATTCTGATTCCAGTAGTGTCCTGGACAGATGTGGGTTTTGTCAGCCCAGCATTTCTCCCTTCGGGGAACTGTTTCTGTTCTGTTATGTGCTGTTCGATGAGCTGCAATCACAATACTTAACTCCATCCCAGATGTATCTGCAGGATACGGGACTACGCAGTTATAGTAATCCTGTCTGTGACTATATAGGTCCTGAGAGATGCAAATGCTTAATGTGCTTGGCTACTAGCTGAAAGGTGGGAGGTTTAGTCTACCCAGAGGTACCCTGGGAAAAAAGGTGATTCCTTCCCCCAAACCAATCACTGAAAACCCTGTGGGGTCTCTGTGAGTCTCAGTGGAATTGATGGCTACTGCTCCCTGGAAACAGTGGGTAGGCATGTGATCAGAAAGAACCAATCAACATCCATTCTTGGGATTCAAATCTGTACACTGGTTGAGAAAGCTGATTGCTGAAGATGAAAAGCTGGGAGAGCGGGAATCTGGGTTCATCAGTTGCCATTGAGAGGGTTTTTTTGTTTTTTGTTTTTTGGTAGAATGAAGTAGATGAGGTAGAAGTCTGGAAGAGAGAGAGTGAGAAAGAAAAAGATTTTGGCAACAATACGCCAGTTCCAGGCCTCCAGGCTTTGGCTCTCCCTGAATCCTTTTAGGTCTGTTATTTGGAGTTGGGGTTCTGTCACTTAAGGTCCCTGGGACGTGTAAATGGTTTGCTCTTGGCTACAAACCAATGGTTGGCAGTTTGAACTCACTCAGTGGCACTACAGAAGAAAGTCCTGAAAATCTGCTTCTGTAACGATTGTTGTTGTTGTTGTTGTTGTGTGCCATGGAGTCGGTTCCGAATCATAGCAACCCTGTACAGGGTTTCCAAAGCTGTAAATCTTTATGGGAGCAGAAAGCCTCATCTTTCTCCCATGGAACAGCTGGTAGTTACGAACTGCTGACCTTGCGGTTCGCAGCCTGATTCGTAACCACTACGCTACCAGAGCCCAGAAAACCCTCTGGGGTACAGTCCTCCTATAATGGACGGGGTCTCCGTGACTCAGTTGGCTTGATGCCAGTGGGTTTGCTTGCTTGTTTGGGGTTTTCTGCCACATGCCACAACAAACCTTTTAACTAAGACAAAAGGGCTTGTGTCCAGCTCAGGGGAAGTTGGCTATGTGGGGTATGCACTGCAGAGTGAGGCAGGCATGGTCAAAGAGTTTGTGAGGCAGCTGTCCCAGGGATGTCCATGTGTCCGTCTCGGGGTCATAGCAGTCAAAGGAGTCTGAGTCCTCGATGCTGCAGTCCACGGTCAGTCGCCGCCCACCTGTCACGTACAGCTTTTTCCCAATCACTGCGGCCCCGTGGTGCATCCTCCGGTCTTTCATGTCTGCACACTTGACGAACTTGTTGGACTGAGGGTCGTAAGCGAGAATTCTCCGGGTGTAACCTGGAAATCAAGTAGCATATGGACAGGCTGAATGTTGCTCATTGGGGACTAGAAGTCAGTGGTCCTGGGTATGTGTCTCAGTCTGTCATTGCCTAATGCTGAGCCTGGAACTTGGAGGAAATGAAAGCTCACAGTAACTTGTCCCAGGTCACACAGCCAGTACTTGGCAGAACTGGGTTTGGAACCCAGATTGTGTGACTCTGACTCTGCATTCTGAACCCAAATGAAGGCAGATCCTGATTACATTAGCTTTCTTAGCCTCTTAAGCTTTATCATCTCTCTCATCACCTATCTAAGAACTATACCAACCCAAAGAAAGGGTCTTTGGGAGTGGAGCTCAACTTTCTAAACAGCCCAAACTGATAGGTACCTCTATGACTCCTACTTTACGTATGAGGAAACTGAAGCATACAGAGATTAAGAACTTGTTGGAGTATACAGTCAGTTAGTAGTAGAGCCAGGATTTGAACCCAGGTCTAAATGAACCTCCAAACCAGTCCTCTTAACTTTGACACCAGATTACTATTAGAGAGAAATGATCCACTAATAATTAATACTATTAACAGTTGCTGTTGTTGTTGTGAAATGCCGCCGAGTTGGTTCCGACTCATAATGACCCTATATAGGGTTTCCAAGGAGTGACTAGTGAGCTTGAACTGCTGACCTTGCAGTTCAAACGGCTTTGCAGTCTGGCTCATTAGCCCAGAGCGCCACACCAGGACTCCATTATTAACAGTAGCAACTATTTTATTAACATTAGCAAATACTTCATGAGCATTTACCATGTGTCTGGGATAGTGCTAAGTACTTTAAATATCCAAGTGTGTTGAATGATCACAACACCTCTTAGAAACAGGTATTATTTTATCCCTTGTTTAAATAAAGATAGAGGCACGCAGAAACTTCTGGGTAAGCAAAGGGCCTGCCAACTTGTTCACACTCCCCTGGTTCGATGTGTGTGCTTTTGAAACGACCAACTTGTAGAAAAACATCTGTCTGAGTGACCCGTTTTCCACAGGGGATGCCAAGTTTGTGTCCAGCCCAGGGTTACTCTGTTTAAACTTACCTCCCACGATGACAATCCACTCCCCCAGCACCACTGCAGGGGCACACACATTCTTGATCATCCTCGTCTCCATCTTGAACCACGTGTTTCTGGAAATGTGATAAACCTGAGGGGGAAACATCACACCCATGGCACTGCATGTTAATGTTAGATAGATCAATTGTTGTTGTTAAGTACCGTCGAGTCAGTTCCAACTCATAGGTTTGGACTACCAACTGTGAGTGAGAATGGGTGTCTAGGCTCATGAGTGGCCGCTGAGATTATGTTTTTGGTAGAACAAAATCTAATAGAGATGAAGTAGAAGGAGGGAGGAGAGACAAAGTGAAGCAGAGAGCAACTGGTAGGTTTGAACTACCATCCTTGTGGTTAGCAGTCCCGTGCTTATCCTAGAGCACTACACCAGGATAGATAGTAGTAATAATTAGAATGGTAAAATGGGAGTGGTTATTTTTTCCAAGAAGTTTTACCATTTTTAATATGCAACTAGATTAGTTTCAATAAATAAAATATGTTTCAAGAGCAGGAAGGAGAATATGGTTAGACATCTCTCTTTTTATGACTTATTCTCTGAAATCGGTGGCTGGGTTTCTACAAAATGAATCAATTTCTGTGTTGTAGAACATCCTATTTTTTTCTTGCGTGGGACTTTTTTTTATTTTAATGAGAAAGGGAGCAATTGGATATTCATATGACGTGACTCTTCAGTCATTTGGATCTCTAAGCTCATGTCTTAATGTAACTTGGGGTTGAGAGTGGCTTAGAGTCATGGATTCATTGCAGGCTCGGTGGAATGGGTTTTGAACAGTTCATTCCTGACAGTCATCGGTGATAGTGATGGTGTGATGTGCTGTGGAGGCAGTTCTGACTCATAGTGACCTTGTATAGGGTTTCCGAGGCTGTAAATGTTTATGGGAGTAGAAAACCTCATCTCTCTTCTGTGGAACAGCTGGTAGTTTCAAACTGATGAACTTGTGGTTAGAAGCCAGATTCATAACCACTACGCTACCAGAGTTCCTTCCCAAAGGAAGATGAAGATGGCAGGGAGACATCAGTGCGCTGGTGATTATATGCCATGGAGTTAGTTCTGACTCGTAGTGACCCTGTACAGGGTTTCCAAAGTTGTAAATCTTTACAGGAGCAGAAAGCCTCATCTTTCTCCTGCAGAACAGCTGGTAGATGTGAATTGCTGACCTTGGGATTAGCTTGCCCAACTCGTCACCCACTACACTACCAGAGCAGTCAGTAGAGTCCTAGAAAGAAGGAAGAATGGTAAAAACAAGTAAGAAGAAAGAGGAAGGGACAGGATGGGGAGGGGCTTCTATTCCCAGGCTCTGAAAACTGTGAATCAAATCCTGAACCCCTACAATCATTCCCTCAGCTTAAAAGCCAAATATCAAATTTTAATTGGTTTCTGTCAAGGGAATTTTACTACAAGTTATTCAAAGATGGACTTCATAGATAGAAAGGAAAGAATGAAAACAGTACAGAGGGAGATGGTATGGTCCCCTTCACTGGGAACCACAGGTTTTTCAGTATAGAATAGAGTTGTCAGCACTATGAAAGGCTTTACTCTGATCCATTTATTGAAGTGAATCACACAACCATTCTCTCAGGTAGGTACTATTACTTCCCCCAGTTTCCAGATTAGACCCTTGAGGTTTAGAGCAGTTGCATGCAAAGCCATAGTCCCACAGGTAGAGTGTGGAAAAGCTGGTCTGGTCAATCCCAGAATTCACACTCTCAGCTGTCACACCCGTGGCTCTGCCTGGGACGGTGGAAGGGTGTCCCTTCCTGATGGAGGGTTTTGAGATTGGAGACCACTTGAGGTCTCTTTTGTGACTCACTCACATCAGGAAAACACTTGGAGGAGGCCAAAGGGGAACCAGAGAGCTATGAAGTCTCATGGTTTCATCTGAAAATATGTTGGTAGCAAAACTCTTTGGAAAGAGCAGTGAGCTGTTTGGAGAAAAGCAAACACTGGTTGCATTTTACTTGAGTGAGTGATTGTCATTTGCCCTCTGTTTCCCATCAGTTTTGGGTATGGTTTCAAAAAATAGATTAAACATTTGTTCACAATCCTCATCATAACCCAGAGAGGTTGGGGCCAGGATCACAAAGGATGATCTTTGACCAATGAAGCAAAGGACATTATGTTATGGTAAAATATTTGCTTGCTGTCATTCAGAGATGGAGGTAGTGAGAAGGCCAGGTAGCTAGACCCAGGGGCACACATAATTTGGATAGTAAATCCACTGCAGTGTAAGGACTTGAAAGAATGAAAACAGATGAAACATCCTAAGAAGAAAACCCAGAGCCCTTATCAAAAAATTCAAGGAACTCTAAGCATTCATCTTAAACTCTATATGAATGAGTGAAATTTCCTCGTCAAAGCTAGCGCTACTTGGCTAAGAAGACCACTCAAATTAATGCTTTTATTTACTCATCCCCCATGGCTGTAATGTTAAGAGTCACCTACCTGTTTAGAGTTTGTGTGTGTGGGTTGGGGGTGGGGGGTGGATGGCTCTGCAAGGACCTTAGTTGGTTGCACTAACTCTACATTTCTTGATCTATGCATTTAAAATGTTTGTGAGTTTTGCGTTTTGGTCTTAAGAAGTCCATGACATGGGAGGGTCTCTTGTTTTACATAGAGACCCCATCACTCTCAGGCCTGATTCTTTGAAAAGGTCTACAAAACCCTGCCAGACAAGCCTCATCTCCCAACCCACTCACTTCCTTCTAGACGTTCTACAGAGGACGGGCTTAGGGGAAGCAGTCTTGGTAGAGGGGATTGCTTAGGTACCTTGGGAAGGGAGTGGGTACAGATAATGTGGTGAATTAATACCCCTGTCATGGTTGATGCAAAAGGTTAATGCACTTGGTTGCTAAACAAAAGATTGGAGGCTCATGTTCACCCAGAGGCACCTCTGAAAAAAAGGTCTGGGGATCTCCTTTCAAAAAGCCGGTCATTGAAAAGCGTACGGAGCACAGTTCTACGATGACACACATGGGGTTGCCATGAGTCAGAATTGACTTGATGGCCACTGGCTGCTTACGGGTAACAGGCCCAAACCAGCTCTTTGGTACCCCATCTTCCTCCTTGCTCTCTCTCTTGCAGCCACACTGTGCATTCTTTCAGTTCTTCAAGGCAAAAGGCTGTGCTCTATTCTGCTTCAGGACCTTTGGAGAAATGGTTCATTTACCCAGGAACACTCTTCCTTCCTCACTATATAACTCTACTCCTTCAGATGGCACATTCAACAACATCTGCTCTAGAAACTTCCTTAAATGCCTCCAATGCCAGATCCTTCTATTCTGTGCTCTCTTGGCATCCACTCCTCAAGTCTGCCTCCTCTTTTGCCCTTCATTCTCCTCTGCCTCTCTGTTTAAGTCAGTGTAAGCCAACCTCACAGGTTCCTTCCAAAGTTCCTGGGACCCTAAGCCCCATTGATTCCCTCTAGACTGGTTTTGGGCACCCATTCATACTCTTAGCATACCCCTCTCTTGCAGCATCTGACTGTAATGATCTTGTAAGCTCCCTGAGGGCAACCGCACCTCTCTGCTCACAATGTATCCTCAGTGGGCGGTGCTTCTGTGGGAGAAGTGGGCAACCAGCATGGGTGCCCCCAGCATAACTCTTTCTTAGAAAGGACAAAGCACATTGCATGTGATCTCGTTGAGGATCTTGAGATATAGGATTGTTGCTAGCATTTTCCACATCATGAGATGAGCTGCAAAGGATGTGAAGTTTGTATCAAATTGGAAAACATTTTAATATTGTGGAAATTTTGACTTTTATAAATTCTACTTCTCTGAGCCAGAGTGCTCCTTGGAGACCAGGATGGCCAAACTTCATCTCTCATACTTCAGACCAATTGTCAGGAGGGACCAGTCGTTGAAGAAGGAGAAAGTGGAGGGTCAGAGAAAAAGAGGAAGACCCTCAATGAGATAGATTGGCACAGTGGTGGTAGTAATTGGCTCAGAAGTAGCAATTGTGAGGTTGGCCCAGGACCAGGCAGTGTTTCATTCTGTTGTGCATACGGTCACTATGAGTTGGTACCTACTGGATGACACCTAACAACAACTTCTCTGAGAGTTTGTGAGTAAAATTAATAACTACCTGTCATTTAAGACAAGGGTTTCCCAACCTGACTGCCCCTCATAATCTTCTGGAAAGCATAAATGTCAGGTCAGAACCCTATAAAAAGAGATTTTGATTCCATAGTTCTGAGGTGGAGTTGAGGGAATTAGGTAGTCTTTGAAACACTACCTGGGAAGCTTCTTTTAAGACAAGACTTATTTGGGTTAAAAGCATCTGCTAAATCTTTATGAAGTTTTATTATCTGATATTAAATATGTTTTAGCTTGAATTGTTAGATTTTCCCCCTCACATAAAGATTAACTTATTATAGAAATTTTATCTGATGAAAATATTCCTTCCTTCGTTTTCTTCCTTCCTGAGCCAGTGAGAAATGGGTGTGTGAGTGTGTAGAGTGGGTCACATGGGTGCACTTACAAGATGTCAGGACCTGTCATTTACCTGGATTAGGCGCACAGGGTTCTGCATGATGTCCTCTCCCCCAAAGAGGTAGAGTCTTTGGTCTTTCACAGCAACTGCAGGGTGGAGAACACCCACCGGCATGCTGGCCATATTTTCCCAGACATTGCAGATGCTGTCATATCTCTCCATGGAGCCCATGCCTTCCTGCTTGTCTCCAAGTCCCCCAATGGAGAAGATGAAGTTCTTGTGGGCGGTGCTTCTGTGGGAGTAGCGGGCCACCAGCATGGGTTCCCCCAGACGCCATTGATTGAGTTTCAGGGAGAAGATATAAACATTGGGACTGACCAGACTCTTACCTGCTCTGACAGCCTTACCCCCAATAACATAGACACTGCGGTGCAAGGTGACGGCTGAGGCCTTGTACAGCCGGGTCGGGAGTTTGGCAAGGTCCTGCCATTGGCCAGTCTGTTCGTTGTAGAGCAGAACATCCCTGGTGGTCTGTTGGTTGTCCTTCCTTCCACCCAAGAGAATGAGGAAGTCTTGGTAAGAGTTTCTTGGAGGGATGTGACATAGAGGTTTGAGGTCTGGGACACTGGTATTATAGAAAGAAAACATCTGCCTTTTGGCTGTCTCCAAGATGGCCTGACATGCAGGTGAGGTTTGAAGGAGGGTGTCGCTGGCGATGAAATGGTAGAAGAAGGCTGGGTGGACATATTGAAGCCTGACCTGCTTCAACAGTTCTTGCATGTGCCGTTTCCGGGTCTCTACATCATGCTTGACCCAAACCATGAGAGCCTCAAATACCTTTTCCTCCTCCCCACAGAGTTCATCATCTCCTAGGTAGTCTGTCAACTCCAAGACACAAAGTTCCTTCAGGTCGGCCGATGAGGCCACCTCTGGGAAATACTTCAGGGCCACCTCCCTGGCTTTCTTCTTCAGAGTCTCACAACTTAAGATGTCTGAGAGTCTCAGCAGGCCCAGGCAGTTACTGGGGGTCAGCTGGCTCTGGAGGTATGAAGAGCAGGCTTCAAAGAGCTTGGGGTACTGCAACATGGAAGCTGCTTCCATCAGAGGCAGGACCCGCTCAGCTGTGATGCGTACCTCCCCCGTATACACATATAGGACAATCTGCTCCAGAGCGGCGGCGTCAATACCTTTCAGGTGGACTTTGGCCTCACCACTCTCCCTGAAGTTGTTGCAGAACATGGCCCTGAAGTAGAGGCTGCTGGAGGCCAGGACGTTTCGGTGGCAGGGCACCTCCCAGGCACTGGCACAGAGGCTAACATCTGTCAGGATCTTGTTTTGCCTTAAGCCATTAAGCTGCTTCAATAAGTCAGAGGAGAAGTCACAGTCTTTGAAGAGCAGCTCATCTACCGACTCCTCATCCATCCTACAAACACAGGAAGAAGCCCCAAGAGGGAGTGAGATCAAGCCTGAGAATGTAGTGGGGGGTTAGTTATGGGGACTCAGGGACTTGTAGCATTGATGTCTGTTTCTCTAACTCAAGGATGGGGACGATCCAGTCAGAGGGCTGTATAAGGCCCACGAAATCATTTGGTCTGCTCCTTCCAAGGCAACTGAAGTTCCAGTCATCACATTATTACAGGCTAATTTTTAAGTTGATAATTTTGTATGGCCCACAAATGATGTTATAAATACTCAAAAAGCCCTCGGCAGATCAAAGCTTCCCCACCCCTGCCCTAGACGCTTGCCTGTGTGACCAAGAATATCACTTAGTGAAGATCGAAGAAGGAGGCCACCTCAGCCCAGACCTCAAAGCAGACACCTCCCTTTTTGGTGTTGATTATTCTCAAAGGAGCTCTGGTAGCGTAGTGGTTACGAATCAGCCTGCTAACCTCAAGGTCGGCAGTTCGAAACTACCAGTGGTTCCATGGGAGAAAGATGAGGCGTTCTGCTCCCATAAAGATTTACAGCCTCGGAAACCCTGTGTAGGGTCACTATGAGTCAGAACCGACTCCACGGTACTTAACAACAACAATTCTCAAAGGTAGCATGCAAATGAAATCTTTGATTAATCAGATAGGAGGGGGGAAAGTTGTTGAAAATTACTTGACCTTCAGCAGTTTGAAGCAAGATAATAGTCAATATCTTTGACCAGCAGAATTATGTGAATCTTTCTCTAGATTCTCGACAGATCTGTTGTTTAGTAAAGGCATCTAAACATCTCTTTCTGGGAATTTGTCCTTTCCCAAGGATGTCATCCTAGGGGTGTGGCCCTCTGGTAACTAGGCAGAAACTAACCACGAAAATGGACCTTTGCTATTTTTTTTTTTTTGAATCATAACTGTACTGAGTCTTTTTTGGTTTCGTTTTAAAAATGGTATAAATAGAAAGCAGACACCAAACGACATCCTGGCTGGACACGTTTTGTTGGGTGACATCTGGCAGTCTCCCGGCAGAAGAAATCCAGCCTTAGGGCTATTTACCTTGTTTGGCTGCAGTGACATCCACCGATGCCTGGTCCGACTCGTCCCTCCGGAGAGTTTCCACCTCTGGCTGCGAGTGAAACCATAAACCCAGGCCTGTCCTTCAGTGGGCAGATGGTTTGTCCTGGGAGATTCCTAGATTTGTTTATGCTGAAGGCACTTTCACAGTTTTCTAGAGCTTTGTGAAAGAGCTGCTAGGCAGGAGACAGTGTATACATTCCAGGGCTAAGAATAGTTGCATGTGTACTTTCCACTGTTAGGACTTGTGACTTTCCAGTTGCCTTTTGCAGCCACCCCAGGGCCTACAGGGCCGGCGCATGCCCACATGCCTTGTTTCCTTGGCCCGTGTTCACAGCAGCATAAATAGACCCAGAGGAACTGCTTCTCTTGGAGAAGACCTTACTGCCCAGTTGGGAACATACCAAGTCCCTTGTCCTAAAAGTGCCTTGGAATTCTAAATGTCTGTAAACAGGTCGCTGTGACCTATGGAGAGTCACTGAAGAGAACTCTGGGCCTTAGTGAAGGGGGCAGGTGGTTACCAACAAAGACAGAACTTGGGCTCGTGGGCACAGTTCACTGGGTGTCTGCCCGGGTAGGGTTACTAGAGAGGGTTTGACTTCTTCCTCTAGGTTCTAACGTGACAAGGCATCTGGGATAAAATTTGCTTTTTAATAGTTGTCAACTACCCTGGAGTTTCCAGACTCAGTAGAGAGTAAATCTTTGTTGGGTCTCTTTACCTGGAAACTTTAGTTAAAGTGGCAAGATCTCTGCAATTGCCCATCAAAACTCCTCTCCCAGATCCCAGACATACACCACTGATTCGTCAGTTAGGTATTTATAGTTCAGGCTTGCTTTTTTGGTTTGCTTTCCATTTTCTACCATTGAGTAGGCTGGAGCTATATAGGCCAGGAGGCAAGGCATATTGTTCCAGGATTAAGGATATACCAGAAAGAGAGAGAGAGAGAGAAGAGGGGAAGGGTGGGAAGGGAAGAGAAGAGGAGGAATCCCGAGGACCAAGGTTAGGGGCCAATGGGCCAATGGTCAATTGAACAGAACAGTAGAGATCCATGAAGGTAGAAGCAAGGAGCTGGGAAGGGAAGCTGTTTGTACAGAGACAACAGAGTTGGTAGCTTTGTCCAATCTTCTGAGAAATGCTGGTGATGTAAAAGGGAAGTAGGTAAATAGTTAGGTATAAAGGGCATTTCATAGGAGAATGGAATGAAAAGAGAAAGGATTTTATCCACTCACTTTATAAAGCTCCTTTGTAGATAGATAATGGATAGACAGGTAGATAGCTGGCTGGCTGGTTAGACGGCTGCCATTGAGCCAACTCTAACTCGTTGGTGACCTAATGAAGAACTGAATGCTTTTTGGCTTTGCTTTTCCATTTTCTCCCATTGGTTAGGCAGAGTGTTAAGGCATATTGTTCCAGGATAATCATATACCAGAAAGAGAAGGTGTGGGGGTGGGGGGCTGGGGAGGAAAGGGAAAGGAAGAAAAGTGAACCGGATCTTTGTGGGCCTCAGGATCCCCAGAATGTTTGAGTTCATCACTGAGCGTCTCTCTCACCCTTGCTGACTCTCTCTTTCACCCCCTCAGGGACGTATCCCTCCTGATGATGCATCCAAGGTGAGTGACTCAGACAGCGTGCTGTGGTGATCCGTTGGCAAATATTTGAAAGCAGATTACCAGGCCTTTCTAGAGTGGTAGCATAGCAGCCAGAGTCCCAACAACAAGCAATCCTTCACAGTATGACAAACTGACAGATGGGTGGCAATTAAAGGGCCTAACGTCCTTTCTGCTTCTGAGTCTTTGCATGGGCTCCTCTACTTCCATGGTTGAGCTCCTGTTCATCTTTAAAAACTGACTTGTAAACTTGCCCTATACTTATGGATGTAGTAGCTCAAAGTACCAACTGAGATGGAAGGAGTCTTCACATCAAGGATCAAACATATCCCCTCTGTACACAGGGTTGATAGAAATGAGCAACTTAGATATTGGCTGCCTAAAATGGGGGGCTATAAAGACATGGAGTGGCTGGCATAAAGTTTTCAAGAGGGAATTTAGTTTCAGAGTGTGTGGGGGAATGTAAGATGCCCACTGAATAGTTTTCATCTTGTCTAAATGGGTCTGGTGAAAGGAAATGGGGATAAGATTCTTATGATTCAATACTGAGTAATTGTTAGCATGGCTAATTGTGACCATCACAACTATAAAGGTAGAAGTTTTGTAACATAAAGCAGGGAGTAGTTAATCTTACATTTCAGGAATAGAGGATCCTAGGACTATCAAGGGAGAAGAGCATGAGCGGAATGTGGGACCCTATCCAGAGAAGCAGCGACACCAGAGATGGAGGCAGAGATGAGGGCACGGAGAGAGAGCAGCTGAGAACTCTAGACTCATGGAAAGAGAAAGGCTGAGTGCTGGTGGCTAGGAGGTAGGCTTGCAGAATGTGCCCTTTGGTTGTTTAAATGATTATATATTTCTGAGTGTTTTTGTATACATCAACAAAACAACACAGACGGAATAGAAGCAAATACTGTTGAATGGTGATATATGGAAGGGATTGCAATCATTGCAATGATACAAAATACGATAGGATGAGTGCAAAACTGATGTTCTCCCATGTAAACAGTCACTCAATGCACAATAAAAGCTTTAAAAAAAAACAACAAAAAAGCAAACTTAGTTGTATATCAGCTTCTCTGCAACTTTCCCTTGATTGTCTCAGCCAATCCATTTCTTACTTCTCTGTACTCTTGCCATTCCCTCTACATCTTCCTGGAGTCTTGGTGTGGTGCTGTAAGATAATCACTGGACCACAAGGTCAGTTTGAATCATAAGGTGGCTGTTCAAACCCACCTGTTGCTCCTTGGAAACCCTATACAGTGTTGCTATGAGTCTGAAGCAACTCAGTGGCAATTAATAACACCAACAGCATCAACTATCTCTTCCTGATATTGCAAATTATGTTCCCGCACCTGTGTCTCTCCTATTTAGATGGCAGGAGCCTTAACTTAATTGACTATCTCTAGTGCCAATACGGTGCCTGGCACTAGTTTCTGAATTGAGCTGTAATAGAATGGAGAACTGAAAATGAAGAAAGAGCTTTGTTGAATGGTCTTCATTTTCCTTCTTGCTGAGTTGGTTTAACAGGGCTGCCAAGTACAGCTCATGTGTTGATTGTAATATAAATGGTGCCCTGGAAAGACCCTAGGTGTCCCTCATTTTAATCAAATTGAATACGGTGATGAAATGAAAAGTAAAGCATTTGCTTTGTATGGTATGTAAGAGTTGATGGTCGGAAGGTGAACTGAAGTTTTCTTAATGCCAAAGCTGGTACTGTGGTCATTGGTCTTCGAGTCAGCACATAGAAAAAGAAGTGCCTTAGTGCTCTGTCCTGGTGTGGTGCTGTGAGATAAGCACTGGACTGCAAGGTAGGTTTGAACCTCACAGTCGCCGGTTCAAACTCACCCACCACTCCTTGGAAGCCCTATACAGGGCAGCTGTAAGTCAGAAGAACTTACCAACAACAAGTGCTCTGGAACGCCTGTCTGACTTCTCTTCCAGCTGGTAGGCATGCTCAGGGTTTGCTCTGAGAGTCACAGACAGGGATTCCTGAGGCAAATGTATAGCACGCCGTCCACTGGCAGTGTTCCTGTGGTTTCCCATGCTGTTGTTAGGCTCCAACTCATAACAACCCTAAGTACAACAGACCAAAACAGTGCCCAGTCACACGCCATCCCTGCAATCGTTGCTATATTTGAGCCCCTTGTCACAGTTGCTGTATGAATCCATCTCATTGAGGGTCTTCCTCTTTTCACTGACCCCCTGCTTTACCAGGGACTGATTCCTCCTGATAACATGTCCAAAGTACGTGAGACAAATTCTCGCCATCTTGGTTTCTAAGGAACATTCTAACTATACTTTCTTCCAAGACAGATTTGTTCTTCTGGCAGT